GCCGTATTGAGTTCAGTGCAGCCGTATTGAAGTTCAGAAACTTCAATACGGCCGTATTGAGTTCAGTGCGGCCGTATTGTAGTTTAAAATGTTCAATACGGCCGTACTGAACTTTTGGGAGGCCGTATTGGGCTTCATTCCCTCCACTTCCTTATTTTGAGCTATTACAAGACCTCTAGACCTACAGAGAATCCTCCTAGGGCCTTCCATGAGTCCTTCTGGCTGACTTTCCTTCAGTCTTCAAGAGTCTTCAAGCTTTATTTCCTACCCGGACAATTTTAGGGGTCTACAGTATTTACAGTAAAGTTAGTTTGAAAATGGATGCTCCAACTAGGTGGAACTCTACCTCTGCCATGCTATAAAGTGCAATTAAATACACACGTGTTTTTGGTTGTTTAACCATTTGTGATAAAAAAAAACTATGTTTATTGTCCATCAAAGGAAAAATGGAAAAGGGTTGAAAAAATGTTTGAGTTATTAAAGCCGATCTATGTCATGACTAATTTGATTTTTGGTTAATCTTATCCAACATCTTATTGTTACTTTATGCAAGTGTGAAAAATTGAATGTTTGTTATGTGATTTTATTATGAATGATGATCCATTAATTAAAGATATGGCATTGCAAATGAATAAGAAGCTTAGCAAGTATTTGCATGAGTATTGTGAGATTCTTGCTATTGGGACTGTTTTTGATCCAATAACGAAGTTTAGAGCAATTAAGTTTGCTTATAAAAAAGATTGATGCTTTTAGTTGGGAACAAAAGATTAAACATCTAAGGAAAAAATGTTACAAATTGTTTGATGATTATGTGAAAGCAAAACGAAGTGAGTTAAATGCTTCAACTTTTCAAATTTCTCCTCCAATACAACAAGTTTCTTATGTTGAAAATGAACAAATGATTGATGCCTTTGATGTAAATTGCTTTTTTTAATCAAATTAGTTTCTTCAAACATGTCACTTTTATTTAATTTTTATCGTCGACGATTGTATTTCACCTCTTTTTTAATGTTTTAGAAATATGTTGATTATTTGAGGCAACATGCTAATGCTAATGGAAAATTTGAATTGAATTTATACTTGAATGAACCCAATCTAATCCATTTTTATTTTTATTTTTTTATTTTTTTTATTTTATAAATTAGATGTGTTGGGTTATTGGAAGGATCGTCAAGACCATCATCCAATCCTTTCCCAAATGGTTTATGATGTTTTGAGCATTCCAATCACTACAATTACCAATGAGCCTATATTTAGTCTTGGATCTCGTGTGCTTACAAAGTACCTTTTTACCATTCTTCCTGAAAATGTTGAGTTACTCCTTTTAAATCAACATTGGTTGCACGGTTTGAAGAACTATGTAATCTTTATTGTTTATTACTACTTCATTTTAAACTTTTTATCACTTAACCATTTATTGTTATATATGTATTATTTTGATAAGGTATCATTTTTTTTTGTAAATGAAGATAAAGTTGATGTTAAACAACATGAAATTGTTATAGACTTATTTAATCAAGCCTTTAATGAAGTTTAATATTATGGACAACCATTCCAATGACATGATTTTTAAAATTTTTGTTTTTATTATTTAAAGTTGTACATTTTTAATTAAGTTTAATGTTATATACATGATGCATAGTTTGAAAATTTTTATTTTAGATTTGGAGGTTATTTTAAATTAGATTTTTTCAAAAAAAAAATTAGATGGGTTTGTGCATTGGCACGCTTAGTCCACCAACCTATGATGGGCTTGGTTGGGTTGAAAAATTTTGGATGTTTAAGCAGTTGGGTTGAGTTGGACTAGCCCACTTACAAAGTGGGTTAATGTGGGCTAGGCCAAATGGTCCAGCCCGACCCACTTTGACAACCCTAACTTGTGAGGTTGTTACTCGTTGTGACATGAGGGAGTGTGTGAGCCATGCTCTCACTTAGACTGACGCACTCGCATGAAGGGATGGAAAACATAGTTCTTTATTTTCACTTAAACCCAGGTTGCTTTCACAAGGTTATGTCGACGATGTGAGTGAGTGGCTGTGAGGGAGTGACGAAGATGAACTATTGAAATATGTGTGAGTTGTACTACTTTTTTTGACATTTATAACAAGGACTATTAGTAAAATTTAATACAAATAACCAATTTCTTTAATATGTGTAAAATCATTTTTTATAATAAAGAATAGAAAGAGTAATTAATATAGTTACTTTTAATCAATTCTATCACATATTCAAGTTTTATTTCAAAATACTCTTTACTTTAAGTGATTGTTATATTTAATTTGGTTATAAGTGAATAGAAAATAGAATTATAATAAATGAAGGTACAAAAGAAAGGGTCTTGCTAACTTGTGTCCTTAGGACACTAATTAAAGAATGAAATTTTAGAAAATTTTTAATGAAAATTATAATAAAATTACATGGTAGAATGTACGGATACACTTTTCAACAAAATTTTCTACTTTTGATTTCTTAACCAATGCCCTTATGCCTAGAGACATTGGTAAGTATTTTTCTAAAAGAAAAATAACTCTAAGTAACTTTAAAACTAGGCTAAGTTACACTTTTGTTTCTTCTATTTTTATCAATCCTCAATTTATGTTTCTCTATTTAAAAAATAGAGATATTTAGTCTCTTTAATTTTAAAAAATACAAAATTTTGGTCTTCTTACCAAATTGACATTTATGTTAATTCATACTTAAAGAATGTGGTATTTAATAATAATATTTAAAGATAAAAATAATAAAAAATACAAATAAGATTTATTAATAAAATAAATACCAAATTACTTGTTAAAATATATATAAACAATTTTTTATGTTATTTTTAAAAATTTGATTTATATATATATATATATATTATGTCACTAAATATTATGTCATTTAAGTAGTGACAAATTAGTAAAAAATTTCAAAATTTAACAATTAATAAATATCAAATTAATAATAAGACTAAAATTTCATATTTTAAAAATAGAGAGATTAAATATATAGATGAATCAAAATTATAAATTGATAAAAATTAAAGTAGCAAAAGTATAATTTACCTTGAAACTAATGATTATTAATTATAATAAAAAAAATTGTTAACATTTAATTTAATCATGCAAGAGAAATTATTAATTATGTAAAGAATTACATTGTCCCAACCAAAGAACTCATAATTTATCCTGGAACACGGTCAAACTAAAATAGATTCCCTCACCCTCTCTTTCTACCCTTGCACATATATTGGGCCCTTATATCTAGATTTCAGACTTCAGAAACAGAACCAAAGAACCAGTAAAAAAGCAAGTAGACCCTGCGCTACTACCTCAAAAGCAACGCTGATTAGAAGAGTATCCATCGCTTCCCTCTTCTCCATATCCATCACCACCTTTTTTTAACCTCCATAACAGTTTCATTCTTGTCTCCCCCTCCATTCTTCCTTTCTCCACTACTTTTTCTTTTGACCAAACCCCCCCTTTTCCCTTCTTGATCTCAGAGAAAAAAACTCACTCACCATAAATTTCTCTCCTCTCCTTATTCACATCATATATAGTTCACACTTAATAATTGTACCCCTACCACCCCCCAATAAATGTGGCAATGTCTTGATTCCGTAATAGGCCCATGTGGCATGTGTGCATGTCTCATGCACGTATATATCACATATCAATGATTTCAGATGCTCTGAACCTCTAGTATAAGATTGCTTGTTCTCAAGGTCAAGTTGAAGCTATATGAGTTTGAAACATCCCTATCTATATCTTTAATTATATGTTCCTCGAACATCACTCTCTCTAGGCTTTAACTTCCAAACCTACTATCCCTTGTTTCCTTAAATTAGTTTATCTATATATATACACTCCTGTGCCTGCCTATAGTGTCTTACTGTCTTATGTTGTCCGTCCTCTTTTACTGCTATCCCCTCTGTCTTTTTTCTGTTATTCTGTCTTACTCCACATAACAAATAGATACAAAAAAAAAAAAAAAAAAAAAAAATTTAAATTTTTTTTTTTTTTTTTTTGGGGGATAAAGAAAAAAAAAAAAAAAAAAATTTAAATTTTTTTTTTTTTTTTTTTGGGGGATAAAGAAAAAAAAAAAAAAAAAAATTTAAATTTTTTTTTTTTTTTTTTTGGGGGATAAAGAAAAAAAAAAAAAAAAAAATTTAAATTTTTTTTTTTTTTTTTTTGGGGGATAAAGAAAAAAAAAAAAAAAAAAATTTAAATTTTTTTTTTTTTTTTTTTGGGGGATAAAGAAAAAAAAAAAAAAAAAAAAAAAAAAAAAAAAATTGAATTTGTTAGCAATATTAGGAAGTATTATTTTTCTATTTTAACATATTGTGGCTCAGATGTTAAGAACAACTGAAAAGTTGTGCTTTAGTACTCCTGATTGTAATGAGAAAGAGAAACCAATCATGTTTCTCAAGCAAGCAAGTGGTGGTGGTGGTGGTGGTAGAGTCTTGGGAAACAAGAAGAAAATCACCGGGACTTGGACTTTCAGATTTCCAAAAGACCCTAAATTTTCACCTGTGAGATTCTTGCAGCAACTAGGAGCAAAAGTGGCAAGTGCTATTAGAGTTGTTTCCATGAGAAGGAGATCCTGTAGGAAGGTTTCTTCATCCTCTTTGGTCAGAACACGATCAGTGTCTGACCCCACTGATTCACATCGTGCCAAAGCTGTGGAAGATTGCATTGAGTTCTTACACTCTTCTTCGTCTAGGGAGAGACCAAGTTCAGTTTCTGAAAATTCTGTTAAGGGGTGCGTTTGAGATTTCTCCTTGCAAGCGATGTATATTAGAGAAAAATGGTATGCTTTATTGGTTCCATTGACATGTTCTTTAGTAGGAAATAGAGGTTAATCATTTGTACACTGTGCCATGCACTTTAGTAATGTGGTTTGAGTAGAGATTCTCATAAGAATTGATCTAAATTGTGGTTTGAATTGCGAACCTTGATTGTTCATTCATTAGAATTAATACATCCTATGTTGTAATTCTACTTCACCAGGTTCTTGATATGGTTGTCAGTTTTTATTTGGTTATTCTCCATTATTAAGTTGATTAATGACCAACTGTCATTACTCCTTATGTTGTTAATAATAAGGTTTCTATCTAGCTAGAACAGTGATTGGTTTAGATGATAGTTTGATTCTCAAGTTTCATTTGAAATCTTGTATAGGGAAAAAAAAATCCTTCCATATTACTCTAAGATCGATAGATATTCTCGATAAATTACTTCTTATATACATGTGATTTTAGACTTAAAAAAAGTGATATTATTCGGAATACCAAAATACTATTCTCTAATATCTTAACTTTTTAGTACAAGATAGATTTGGATTTTGGAATATACATACATTATCTGTTTAAGAATAGATTATTTCAAATTCCAAAATAACTATCGGTCTGAAATCTGAATTGCGAAAATAAAATGTTTTATATTTAAGTTCTTCATCTTGAAAGGAAATAAATAAAAATACCCAAGAGCCTAACAGCTTATTAAGTGATCCACTAACTTGATTCGAATATACAAAATAACTTTAAGATGTCGGTGGTTCATAAAATTAAACCACTTCTATTCTACGTAATATTTTCTTCTTAAACTAAGCAACAAAAATAGGATACACGTGATTTATTTAAAGGAAATCAAAACAAAAATCTTCAAATACCTAAATTGGTCACTTTCGTTTCGCCCTAAATGAAATACTTTTTTTGGCAAAATTATCTTTTATACATTGTAAATAAAGGATTTACAAGCGTTTTTTTTCATGATACACCCGCAATTTTAAGCCAAAGATAGTTGTTAGACAAAATTCTCTCCAACGGTCATTTATATGATTTGGAATCTTGACATTACGATAAAAATAAGCCAAAAATGTTGTTAGTCAAAATTCTCTTCAATAGTTATTCATAATTTCATATGATTTGGAATCTTGACATTACGATAAACTTCACCAATTTTGCAGTGTACTTTTACAGTGTCTAACACGCTTTAATTTGGATGAGGCAAACCGACAAAAAGCTAGGATACGTGGCCTAACAAAATACGAATTTTGTAAGAGAAGAAAGAGATGATCACCACATCAAAAACTCTAACTACAAATACAATATGGTATTAGTAAAACCATGTCTAAATTAAATAACTTCTAATGAGGTTGGTTGATCATGAATTGCAATTAATTGGGCCAGAAGCAATAATTTTGGATGTGTTGTGGAGCACAAGACAAATTTAACCATTCAATTAAGATGTTTGCTGAAAGTTCTTGTTATGATACGTCGCTACCCCACAGCTCATAGACAAGAGCATGCTCGTGTATCAAGGCCTCTTCCATCCATCATTTTGAAAGCCTAGCCATATCCTGGAAATCAGTGATATACTTCAATTGGTTTCCACTTTACCACAATCCTTTGACCAGAGTACGAGAATTTCTTCACAATTTTACCCATTGAGAGGGAATCCAACGACTATGCAATACAATTAAATAATCTTCACTAGTTACTATACTATGAGATGTCTCTATATATTTATCTAAAATATATAGCTAAAACAATAAAAATTGTATGGATGATTTGTATTGTGAGGAGGGTATATATAGTTTGGGATAGTTATTTATGAAGGGTAAAAATGTTTTTTAAAAAATGTATACGTTAAATAAGTAAATCACCTTTATATATACTAGTGTAAAGGAGACACACCATAACCCTCTATTCTGTTAAAAAAATAATAGTGAGTAGTTAACAATTAAAAAATCTAAGTAATTTGTGTAGTTATAGAAATAAAACAAGATAAAAAAAAATGTGGACATCAAATTACGAGATATCCTGTTTATATATGACTAATTACAAAACATTTTGGATGTTAATAAAAGTAAAAAAAATGGTTAAGAAATATAAATAACCGTAATTAAATAAGGGTATTTATTTTAGTATAGATATATATAGTAGTATAGATAAACTACTTTATATCCTATTTATAAATAGTATAAACTTATAGATAAATGAACAAAATTAATTATAAAATTGAACAAAGTACATTAATGTAATATCAGAACTCTTGAATTTGATTCCTACAAATATTCCTTTTAAATCACTTATTTTTACAAGTTTAAATTGCATTTGTAGTCTTTTTTATTTTTATTATTATGCAATTATAGTCTCTTTATTTTAAAATAGAGACTTTTAGTCTCTCTAATTTAAAAAATACGAAATTTTGGTCCTCTTGCTAAATTGACATATATTAATCATTAAGTTTTAACATTTATTTATACTTTAAGTAACATGAAATCTAGTAATATGACATTTGAAGATAAAATAACTAATTTTTTTTTTATAAATAAGATTTATTAATAAAATTAAAAATAATCACTCGTTAAAATATATATAAACAAATATTTTTTTTATTATTTTTTTAATTTTTATCTGTACATATTATGTCACTAAATATCATGTTACTTAATTGTTAATTGATTATTAAACAACATCAATACTTAACGATTCACAAATATCAAATTAATGATAAAATCAAAATTTTATATTTTTATAAATAAGAGACTAAATATCTTTATTTTAAAATAAATAACAAAAATTACAGATCGATAAAAATAGAAAGACAAAAAATATAATTTAACTTTTTTACAAATATTCTTGCTAGGGAGAATTTGTTTGTATTGTCCGAAGTAGTACTCTATAAATCCTGAGGGGAGATTGTGAGATCTTGAATTTGAAATGGAAAATCTTTACTGCTTGAAAGTAAAATAAAAAATAAAAAAATGAACCGAGACTTTTACAAGTGACAAATTTTATAAGGCAAATTTGGATCTACACTATCAATAGACCAAGAGCATGTAAAAGTGATCCCCGTAGGTCTAAGCCAGGTGCTAGTGGTTCCGAAGTCCCATGAAAAAGTGTACAAAAGAATGTTGACCTAACAATTCTTTTTACTAGTGACACCTTATTTATCTATTCTTCTTGTCTTGTTTTAGTTGAAACTTGAAAGAACTTCGCTAAAGCAACAGTCTAATGTCATCAACATCATCCACTAGAACACTTTGTAAACTAGCTTGGACGGTTATCCATAAAATATGTTCAATTAAAAAAATGTGACAAGAAGGAATCGTAGGGCACGCAATGATGGAACAAGCAGAATAGAAAGCACCAAAGTTCACACGTACGCTAATAATTGTCAATCCACTAATCATATCATGGTTAGAAAAAGCAAAAATTCCATAGGTCATTGTGAATAAATTGTTCATATCATGATTAAGAATCCAATGAGAGATTTTCAAGATCTCGGATTCCTTGACTAGGGACTTTGTTCAACTCGGATCTCTTTGAAGGATCCAAGTTTTGATATCTCTCCCCAGCATATGGATTAGATAGTGATTAGATTTATACCCAATAACATCTCCAATTTGTTTGATATACACATTATTAAGATTTTCCAACTTCCATTCACCCACTATAACAATATGCGAACCCGCGTGCAGTAATATTACAGCATGATAAACCTTGAGACTAAACCAAGAAAATAAGAACGCATGATACAATGAAAATACGAAAATGTATTCTTAAGGGCATGGTGATTAAGCATATTAAATACAAGAAATTCAGAGGATAAATTATTCCCCTGGCGTATGATTATTAAGCAAATGAAATTATATGTTTACTGATAAATTTTAGAAGCATAATATGACTATATCAAAAAATGCTCTAAATTAAAACTTGCGTCAAAGACTTGAATTTACCCCAATCATGTATCTTTGGTGGTACCACTGGTACGAAAATATATTTTATGGCACAATTTTTACATTGGTTATTAAATAATTGGTATAATGAAAAATGCAGTGACATAATTAAATTTTTTTTAATAGCTTTTCTATATCGTTAAGAAAGAACTAATGTAATATATATCTTCATTTACATCGATCGGTTATAGGTTTAATCTATGTAAAAGGAGATATTTTATATCAGTTAAATCTATAATGATATATATACATATCAATAGCATTTTACATTTGTTCAATGTTAGGTGTAAAATACACTAAATACAAATATAATTTATCACAATAACAACGATGGAAAGGAGTCTAGATATTGTATCTAAAGATTAAACGCAAAAATAACAATATATTAATAATTGTTAATTGTTTGAGAAATTTAGTTTTGTGAAAGTGTTGTGGAGAGCACTACTAGTAAAGCAAAAAAAATGCATAAATTGTAAATTGGTTAAGTTTGTAGAAAGAAGAGCCTTATAGTTGTGATTTTATTAACTTCAGTGTCTCTAAATTTAATTTGTAGAGATCCTAAATATTGATTGTCAATTCTATCTCTCAAGTTATGTAAATTTAATTTGTGTAAATCCTAAATCTTGATTGTCAATTAACTGTATTTACCTTATACAAAATCTAAATTGGAATTTGGTTCTATTAAGGAGTTTAAAGAAACAATTATAAAGTACAATGTGTTGAATGGAAAGAAGATAAGGTTTGACTTAAACGACACACTAGTACAGGAGCAGTAATTTACATCGGTTATTTTAAGCTTTTTACGTCAGAAAAAAGGTTCGAAGTTAATGCGGGAGACGTAAATTTATGTCGGTTGTGATGGCCGACCGACGTAAATTTACATCGGACATTCTCAAGAGTCGACGTAAAAAAGTTGTAATAAAAAAAAACATAACAAGTGCAAGCAGAACGGGCCGTTCTGCTAGGAGAACAGACCGTTCTACTTGGAGAACAGGCCGTTCTGCTTGCATAACAGGCTGTTCTAACTGCAGAACAGACTGTTCCAGATGAAAAATCAAAATCCTCTTCACGAAACAAAGTTACAAACTTAAGAATCAGGCGAGTTACATACCTTACCTGTAGATGCTCCATATCCTGAATAATCATAGCTGAAAGCATAACACAAAATTGAAGGAAACAAAAAAAATATAAAACTAAAAATACCATCCTTAGGTTTAGACTTTAGAAACAAAGTAAAAAAGCAAGAAATTTTGGTGTTGGTGTGTTACTTCTGACGAAACCGAAACCAAAGAAAGAAATTTTGGTGTTGGTGTGTTACTTCTGTCGACCTTTGATAGGTTTTGATGGATGCCACCTAAAGCTAAAGTATTGAGGTCAACTATTGATTATTGTTGGTAGACACCAAATGATCAATATTTGCCCTTAGCTTTTGCAGTTGTGGAAACTGAGACAAAAGACTCATGGAGATGGTTTCTGAAGTTGCTTCTAGAGAATATTGGTGATGTACAAACCAACAAATGAGTTTTTATGAGTGACCAACAAAGGGTAAATTGATTCATACATACTGACTATAATTTTCTATGTTGCTGCCAAACTTTTGTACTAACTGTTAATTCATTTTGTACAGGATTTGCTACAAGTGTTTGAAGAATTTCCTATCCCAGTTGAACACAGGTTCTGTTTGAGACATTTGTACAATAATTTCAAAAAGAAATTTGGAGGACGTGTTCAACTAACAGACTTAATGATGGTTGCTGCCAAAGCAACATATGAACAATTGTGTAAGTCTAAGATGCAGCAGATTAGAGATGTGAATAAGGTTGCATATTGGTGGTTATATAACCTTGACAAAAAAGCATGGTGCAAGCCCAAATCCTCCTCCCATACAATATGTGACTTGTTGATGAATAATTTGAGTGAGGCATTTAATAATACCATACTTGTTGCTAGGGATAAGCCAATCATAAGCATGTTTGAGTGGATTAGGATGTACCTCATGAATAGGTTTTCAAACCTTAGAGATAAGTGTAAAAATTACACAAATCAAATTATGCCTAAACCTTTTTAGAGGTTAGATTGGGAGGTTGAAAAGTCTGGGAATTGGGTTGCATGTTAGGGTGGGGATGGAGATTTTGAGGTGAGCCACTTACACAATGGTGAGAAGTTTCTCATTGACATCAACCAAAATTATTGTAGCTGCAATTTTTGGGATTTGGTAGGAATTCCATGTAGGCATGCAGTGGCTACACTGCAGTTCAGAAAGTTAAACTTCATGAATTATGTTGACAATTATTATTTTAGGGCTACATATGTTATGTGTTATGTAAACAAGATTTCTGCCACAAATGGGCAGGATATGTGGCCTGAAAGTCACCTTGATGAGACTTAACCACCCAAAAATAAGAGGGGTCCTAGGCGACCAAAAAAATTAAGGAGAAGAGAATCAGGTGAAATTGACCCAAATTTGACAAAACTGACAAGAGACAATGAAAGGTATAGGTGTAAGAGATGTGGTGGTCAAGTACATAATAGCAGAACCTGTAGACATCCATCACCAGCACCACAACCAGCCAATGAAACACCAGCTAATGTTGAAAATTTGAATGTTGGAGCAAATAAAAAGAATGTTGCAACTGAGACAACCCATGTGGTGGCTAAACCTAATGTTGAACAACAAGTTCCTTTACCAATGCAACATAAGGTATATGATATAATAATAATGAATTCATTGCTTATATACAAATACTAATCTTTTACCTCTGTAGGGAAGAAACATGAGACCAAAATTGGTGCCAAGAAGACCCTCCAAAGGAGTAAACACAAGAAGGAAGCAAGTAGATTTGAATGATGAGAGTGGTGCAATAGAAAGACCAACTACAAAAGGGCTAACTCCAGAAGGACCAACTCTAGAAGGACCAAGTGCGCTAGAAAAAGAAACATAGCAAGAACAGAGGAGAAGGGAGTAAATGCTTTTATTAGGATTACTTTTGCTATAATACTTTTGATACAAAATGTGTATTTAATTTTGATGCATGTGCATCTTTTGGGGATCATACTGTACTTTTTTTATGACAATGAAATATAAACAATGTGCAACATGCAGTGTGCACCTTTTGGAATCACACTTTTGTGTCTTTTTGTCTCAGCGTGCAATGTGTAATGTTTATTTAATTGTTATTGATTTTTACATTGTCTATCATGATTGTTATTGAGTTGTGCAATATTCAGGTAGTCAAATAAAAATTATTAATTTTGTAGGTAGTAAAGTAAGACATATTTTTAGGTTGTGTTCTGGAAAAAGTACCATCATTCAGGTAATATTATAAAAAAGTTAATATTTAAAGGTAGTAAGTTGCATAACTTAATATTATGCAGGTAGTATTCTAAAATCATATATATTTTGAGGTAGTAAGTTGCATAACTTAATATTTCTACAACTCAAACCAGAGTCACTTATATGAAGCATTCAATTCAATTGAATACGATTTCAGTTTAGAAAAGATTCAAAACATACTCAGTTACAGTCCAAAGAAACCTTGATTACTATTGCAAATCAATTCAATTAAATATAAGTCAGAACATAGTCAGTTCTAATGTAGAGAAACAAAATGCAAATCATAAAATTGCATTCAAACCATAATGAAAACCCAAAGCACTATCACTACAAACCCTAACATCTTGACCCTATTTCTCTCAACTAAAATCTTCTTCTTCTTGTGTGAAATTTTTAACATCAATAACGCAAGTTGTTGATGAAGATCAGAACATTCTTCTTGAAGCTATGCAATATTTTTTTTTTTTGCTTTTTGCAATTTTCTCTTCATTTTCTTTTTCTACATCCATTAAAACACTAATCCTTAACTTCAACTCTTTAATTTCGCGCATGTGACTCCCTAAAATAGATCCAACCACATATGTCCATCTTTAATTCAAAGAAAAAAATTACAACACTCGAGTTCCTGCAATCAAAATTGAAACAACATTGTTATAAACAAAGGAAAACCCTAAACCCTAAACTCACAGATGCCATTCCCAAAGAAAAAAATGAATTCCAACTTACATTCCAATTAGGGCATCTCCAAAACCTTTTACCAGGATTTCTTTGTTGTGGGATGTCAAAATGACAGGGGGTTTCTTACATTTGCAACTGACTTGTTGTCGTGCAAAAGAGGAGCATGTTGAACCATGGAATGAACTCATTTGATGAAGCCAAACCCAAGTTGGGTCAAAGACGATGACAAATGAACAAGAACTCTAACTCGTTTTTCTCTTTTAGGATTTTTCCTCTTCACTCATGAGAGTCCTCTTTTTCTTCTTTTAGCGTTTTTTCGATTTGTTCTCATCCAAAAACGTTTCCTAACCGTGAAATGTGGACATTTAGATGATATGGCAAACACTGTTGGGTGATGACATGGAAGTCCATTAGCCACATCATCACTTAACAGAGGGGGACTAATGTTAGGTAATAAATTGAAAAAAAATAGTTAGGTATTTAAAACAAAAATATTAATAGGTAGTAATTTGAAAATCGGCCTTATTAGAGGTAGTTTGAACATATTTAAGCCGAAATTAAAATAGCAAGGTAACTCAATCAATTATAGAAAGAATCCACTCAAATAGATAGGAGTACAATTACATCACAATCCTAACAAGGGAATTAACCAGACATTATAGGAAGAAAACCTAAAATTATATGACTAAAATCCATTAGTACAAGAGAGGAAAATTAACCAAATTGTGAAATCCTCTACTCCTTTAGTGAGCTCTTGTCTCCCTATGTCCTTAGCAATTCCATCAGAGTGATGAAAAGGGAAAACTAAGAAAGCTAAAAATGAGATGAAAAAAGAAGAGATTCATTTTGCATTCCTATTATGTCTTATTTATAAGAAAAAATAGGAGTGCGACCTTCGACATGAGCATGACATTCAAATAACACAGTCGTACTTCCTTAGCATGAGCATCCTGACTTAAATCTTTGGGAGTGTATCTAGGTTAGCACATGCAAGCTTGTTCCAACCTTGGATGTGCTTTAGGACAACATGACCTTGTTTAATTGGACCAAGGTGTGCTTTCAATCTAGAATGACGACCATACAATAATGAAGAACAAAGATGTTTAATTACATCCTTTAACTCTAAATTAAGTCATTTTTAGACTTTTTGAACCAATTTCTTAAGTTCCGTTCCTATTACCTGTTTATTACACACTTAATTAAAATTGATTTTTTTTCCAAAGAATGTGAACATAAAATGAGACCAAACAAAAGTTTATATCATGTTAAAGTGCAACAAATAAGGGTTTTAAGTTTAATCTATAATTAGAATAATAAAAATGTCTTTTAAATCATTTCAGAATCCTTCTTGCCAAACCTTATTATCACAACTAGAAAACTGGTGTTTAACATCACTATATCTACATCAGTTCTAGTAAAAACAATGTAAATCATAAACACGGTGGAAATCTTGTAAATAAATAGAAAATGCAAACATATTTACATCGGTTAAGTGGAGAAACGATGTAAATATGAACAATTCTACATTGGTTTTACTATTGACCGATGTAGAAATGAAATCAGAGGTTTGCTTTTGACCGATGTAGAAGTCAGACCCAAATATCTCCCCCTACGAACACCCATGGAAAGCATAACCTTTAAGCAACGTTCCCAGCCCGCCACGAGCAACGACGGAAAGCAATCCCCCTTGACAAAATTCTCAGCCCTCTTCTTTTCCCTTCATCTGCGGCCTCGGTAACCACATCCTCATGGTCGGCAACCTCAAGTCCTCCTTCGCCCTCAACGCCCCCTGCTCCACGCTCCTTGTCCTATGCCTCGACCTCGACACATTCTGCTGGGACGAGGCCGCACGCATGTTGCACGACATGTTCAAGTGCTTTCGCAACTCCACCAAGTTCAAGGCCTTCGGCGCCCTCGACCGCGTCTGCTTCTTCGCCAAGCGCACCGGGAAGCTTGCGCTCTGGGACCACCACGCCGCCGACGACGTTGAGTGGCGCTGGATTGATAACCTTCTTAGGAATGGCGACGGGCTCTACCGTAGGTTCGTGTTCGAAGGGAGGCTCAATGTTGTGCCCTAACTCAGGGTTTAGGGTTTATGCTTCGAAATCGGTAATAATGTGGTTAAGCTTAATTAATGTTGTTCCTGTTTCTTTTTTTATTTTTTTTTATCAATGTTGTTGTAATTGTATTGTACCATTTGTTTCTCAAAGCAATTTTTGACTGATTTGTGGAGTTGTGTTTCTAGAGTCTGCACACACCAATACTGGCTTCCTATACATGTTATTCTTTTATGTTTTGTTGTTTCCTTCCTCAATCTTGGTATATTTTTCTTTTGTATACTTGTATTGGTGTCTTTTGTATTGAAAGTTGAAATGCTGGAACAGAGTGACACCTCAATAGCTAGTCACTCTAGTAAACTATTTGTAATTTAAATAGAAGTGGGATATGACCCATAACCGTGTTGCTCCTTTATATGAATCTTTTTTTATAATTAATATTTTGGAATTTCTAGTATGCATATATTATGTCCAAAACAATGCGTCTTTCAGCTATAAGAAAATAGGGAATTAACTGATTTTACTTCTTATCTTCTTGGTCCTTCAATTAGCACTCTTGAGAATAAAGCTGGAAAGCCCATCCCCTCAATAGATTTGAATAATGGATATGAGCTTATGGATAGTGATACTTCTAATTCTTGTTTGGAAAATGATACAGTTGATGGCGTTTCATTAGATTTTATGGTAATTTAATTGAACTGCCTTTCTTCTTATCTTAATCTGTCTGTTTCTATGTGTGTGTGAGACTGTGCATGCTTCTACATAAGTTATATTTTGATTAAAATCTGTTATTAAACTTAGAGACTTCAACTACAAAATGACTCAACCAGATATTCTCTTACATAGTTTGTGTTTTTATAAATGTTTTGAAATAATGTCTCAGGGTTGTAACAATGATCTTTGGAGTTCGGTTTACTTTTTCAACTTTCCTGGTCAAGGTCATGTTAGTGTACTATGATTGGTCTACTATGAGTTATGGTTTCCAATGCATATATACCTGCACAACATTAAGTCTTATATTGTGGGTGTGATACACGTCCACTTTTTTTTTTAACAAAATGTTATTGAAAACATTCTTTAGCTCTCTTCCAAGAGTCTAAAATTATTTTTCTTTTTAAAAAATGTTTCAGAAAAAAAAAGCACATTCATTGTTTTTATTCCATAATACATTTGGTTTACAAGTTGTGTAATTCAATACCTTTTCTTTTCTATACAAAGGAATTGCGAAATAAGAAGAAATAATCTTTTTTGCGATTTTTAGTTTCTTAGTTAATTTGTAGGAAATTTGCAACTGACTTAAAAATTAGCTTAGACTGGAAATGGAGAATTGATATGTATTCCCATAATAGTTAGGTATTTATTAATTATTAATGCTATTGGTTTTGCAGCCACCTCGGAGTCGTGGAGCTGAGGACTCTATTTTCCAAAGGAAGGCCAGAGCAACATTACAAAAGAGGTCCTGATCTTTACTCAGTTTTTGTTTAATTATTTTTTACTTTTGTCATTCTATTATATTTATCATATAATAATTCTTGTTCATTTATTCTTTGTTTTTTTGTTTTGTAGATTTTTTGGTTGTTTTATAAAGCTAAATTTGAAAAATAATTTCTTATTTTCTGAAAGAACTTTGAAAAAACTGAAAAAGAAAGGCTATTACTTTTTTTTTTCTTTCAAAATAAGTTGAACTTAATCCACACTAGATTGTGCAAACTTTTAAATAAATCATATTCTGACAATGCAGTATAAAGCTTTTGACCCTTCATTAACTATTAGCTTCATTATATTTCCAATTGCTTGGACACTAGTGTTGGTCCTAAACGATGGAAAATTTAATGCTCCATTTATCAAAAGCTTTCTTTACTAGTTCTCTCTCTATTTTTACTTTTTGGGATAATTTTCCTTTTATTGCCAGTCCTTCGTTGTTGTCACATATGCAATGTTACTTGCCCAACATGCTATGTTCATTACATTGTTTGCTGGGATTGTTTTTTCTCATGCAATATGTTGTGTTCACTATTCCCATTTGCAGCAAAACTTGGAACTTGGAACTATCATATACATATATGTAAATTACATTCATTAGTTATAATCTCATCAGTGTAGGTTTTTTGACCTTAATAAATAAAATAAAAAAATTACTGAAATAAATTAAAAAAAACTATTTACTAAAATAAATTGTTTTTGACACGTAGGAGAGAGATAAATAAAAAGAAAACTTCAAGAGTAGTGACGAGTATAGTGTATTGCACAAGTCGTCAACTAAATTGACGCTACGAGTGAAAAAAATATGGAACCTAAATCGTCAATATATTTGACGTTTTGTACTCTCGTAATTATCAAAAGCAATAAAAAAAATGTCTGCACTTGAAAACATAGTCCACATTAACGTTTTCATAACATTTTAAAACCTTTTTTGATTGCTAGCGTGATCGGATAAGGTAGCGAAGATTCATTCAACTATTTCACTCTCAGAGGCAGGCTTGTAGGGTAATTTACAATAAAGCCGCATGTGAATCCATCCCAACTACTAGAGTTCTTTCTTTACCTCGACCAATTGCTGTTGTTGAGCGTTTTTCTGTCAAGGTTGCCAGTTTCAGAGGTTGTTCCGCGACGAGTGGTCTCAGGTGACGTTTTCCACCTTTTAAACCACATATGCGTTTCAAAATCCAAAAAAATTTAAAACCTCCAAACAATTTAAAACCACGTTTCCAATATATTTATCGGGCCAATATATTTGAATCTCCTACCCTCCCTTGTTCCATATGCAAAACCTATTTTTAATATAATTATAGTGTTTCCTTTGACAAATAAGATGGAAAGGAGATATAGAAAAGAAGGAAGCAAACAAAACACCAGAAAGTTGACCATTGATAAAAACATGCACTATATGGCCTATGGATTGAACAATGAGAGTGGGAAGTTTGCCACCATGGAGAAAGGATTCAGATGAACCTATCTGAATTGCCCATTACAAAACGTCCCCAAAAAATGACTTTTTTAGTGTGCATGAAAGCCCCCCAACGCATAACACAAGGACAGATTCTTATTGTGCCGCTAACACGTAATTAGTTATGGTCTACGCTACAAGACGTTCTCTAGCCATTTTTATCCTTAATTTATTCTTATATAAAACGTCAAAGGTTTATATGTTTTTACTTTTTTTATTTCCTAAAACATAACGTCAATGAGTGTGACGTTTTCCTATTCTCTCTCCTACATGCATAAAATGTCACATATAACAATGTTTTCTTCTTTTTTCCGGTCCTACGTGTCCAAAATAATTTATTTTGGTAAATAGTTTTTTTTTTAATTTATTTCAGTAATTTATATTTTATTTTTATTTATTAAGGTCAAAAAGCCCACTAGTGTAAGTAGTTAGAGCAAGCTACAAGCAGAACTTGGAACTTGGAAATAAGTGAAATGTATAGATGAAAAAAATGAAGTCAATTTTAGACTTCATAGTTAGGTTTTGTGTAGCTCTTCAAAAGCATGTAAATAAAAAAAAAAGGTATTATTATATACATGATTGATAAATTTATAAAAGCTGAGTGATGTTCTTCCAGCCTATATATTTACATTATGTAAACATCCAATTTTGTCCTCTTCTCTTTATACTCCTTTTTCGTTTCTTTTCTTTACAAATTAATCACATGTTAATACATTTTTTTTCTTTCGTTCTTTCTTACTCAATATTTAAATTAAAGTAAAAGACTCAAACACTACTCTCTTTAGAAAGATAAAAATTGTGCCAAATGCCAACCATTATTGTACATAATTACCTTCATAAAGCTGTATAAATTAATATTGTATGACACAATTTAAAAGGAAACACAAATGAGTGTCTCACGCAACTCCAAATTGTAATGTTTTTTTCAAAATAAATAAATAAAAATATATGCTTATAATAATAATAATATAACATAATAAATAAATAAATAAGAAAAAAAAGTATTCATTTATTGGCATACAGAGCACATAATCTAGAAATTTCTACACTCTGAAAATATCCCTGGGTTAGCCTTCAAGCGCCCCCAATATTAATGAGGATGTGATTGATCACACACCCTTGAGCCCACCCCTCCTGAGAAATCACGTAAAGAGACAAATTATAATAATTACCTGAAGGTAATATAAAAGGGGACTTCTCTTTAGAATTTTCATCCACGCGGATTGGCTTCCTATCTGGCATTCAGTGGTTTCTTCGCACAAACAAAAGCTGGTGCAGTACGGGTACAATTTCGTTTTCTTGTTCGTGCTAATTGGTAGAATTGTTACCCTATATTCTTTATTTCATGAATGCATGATTGGTAGAAAATCAGCTTGCTGTACGGGGATTCTCTTTCATGCACAGTTCCTATTATTTCTCTTTAACATTTGATCCATATAACTTTTTGCCACGTTTATTCATGTCTGCTTTATCATTTACTATCCCGTTTTTTTCTTTTTTCTTATTGGCTCCACAACATGAATGATAAACATATTGTTTTTCCTTTCAAACATGCATTATGATAATAATCATTCCGCATCCATTATGTTTGAAATTGTATTTATGTATCTTTTGATGATTTACTTTCCTTTTTTATTAACGTTACGTTGTAGTTGGGATTTTGTTAAGCATAATAGACATTTATTGTATATGGCTTGATTAGCATGGCCTGTATAGTTAAAGCTATTAAATGGAATTAGTAAAATATAATAAAACTGAAGGAATCCGAGTCGAATAAAATTGGAACAAGTGTAACGTGTAGAGTTTCCTGTTTAAACATTCTCATATTAATTTAATAATATCAATATTAATAATACTAATTAAATAAGAAAAACATGTCATCGAAACAATAAATTTTATGATAGAGTTAACTAGATGAGACATCTTTTAGATTCTAATATTTTTAGATGCAAGCTGTGACAGCTTGATAGTCTTAAGACTTAAAAAAAAATGTTTTAGTTAATGCTAATAATTTCTCACAAATTATAAATGTTAATTATTAAAAATTTTGTAATATAATTAAATTAAGGGTTATCCTAAGATAAAGGATTATCTGATTGTGACGTTCTTTTAATCCTAAAAGTTTAAAAGTACAAGTTGTGACGACTTGTTATTTTAAACTTTTCTCTAAATTAATAATTTATAAAACATTACTGTTGCAACAAAATTTACTATAAAAAAAAAAAGAGGGACTAAGATTCGCATGTAATAATGGCAATAAGCATAATCAAAACTAAATAATTCAATTGACTTTGGTGTACACCTCTGTCTATTTCGGGATGTATGAGCTGAGACAGCTCAAAAGTCCTAATTAAATTAAAAGAGTAAATTTAAATAATAATAATAATAAAAACTATTAAAACATTTTCTTTCAAAGAACTACGTGACTCTGATTCTTCATTACATATGAAGATACGTAGGACTAGGAAATTATTCCTGTCGAGCCCAAAAATAAAAATAATAATATTATCTCAGTAATAATGATAATAAACAACTTTCAACGCACTTGTTGAATAAAATATATGTGATTATCATCGTTAATTTCTATTAATTTGGGGTGAGATAAATATTTTTAAAAGTTATAATAGTTTGCTTGATTAATTAGAGGTAACCGTCTTTATGATGGACGTTGTAAGGTGCTAATACCTTCCTTACACGTAATTGACTCCCGAACTCAAAATCTGATTTCGTAGACCATTTTTCTTTAATGTTTTTTTTCCAATGTTTTTTTCATAGAAATAAATATTGGTGGCGACTCCATATCTATAAAAAAAAAAAATTATTTTTCGCCGTCCCGTCGCGATCTCAATTGTGACACATTAGTTGGTGCTTACAGGTCTTCTTTTAGAGAATAGGCTAATTTCCCAAGTTTTGGTTTATGTTGTGGATTGATCATTGGGTATCATTTCCCTTGTTTTATATCATTATGATGGGTGATTATCATTTGCATCATGTTCTATTTATAATATCATTTTTTTTATGCTTTCTATAACAACATTAAGGCAGTTGGGATAAAAAAATTGTTTTTAATTGTGTACTTTAGCAGTTTGGCACTTCTTCAAGTTTTTGGTAGACAAAGTAAAATTTAATCAAGGGGAACTAAGCGTAGTGTTACCGAAAGGATCAACAAGATACAGTTGGATAGGCTATGGATTTGGATTGAGAGTTATGAGTGGATTTTAAATTGGAACAATAGTTACTTAGGCAGAGTTTTAAGAATAAACTATAAAAAGGTTGTGGTGAGATATGTTGGTAATTTAAAGTATAGATAAATGGATGGTCTCTTTGCTGCAACAGAACTGACTCCAGTGTCCTATTCACGTTTCTTTTGATGTCTTCTATTTCATATGTCTTTTTCTGCACTTTTTTTGGACTTGTCATTAATTTATCGTTGAGCAATTTTCTTTTTTAGTTTTATCTTTCTAATTTTACTTATGACATTTTACCAAAGCGTATTTTTTTACTGCAACATTTTACTGATGTGTTGGGCATTTCTTTTTCTAATTTCACTTAATTTATTGGTCCTACTCTGCTCATATGTTATACCACTATTCAAATTTTTTTGTTATTTTGCTACTTATTTACATCGGTTTTGTTGACAACTGATGTAGAACCGATGTAGATTATCCATCCTGTAGTAGTATATGAATGTTCTCTAGCAGTGCCAATGATGCTCCAAACATCTCTAACAAGATTCTCTTGTAATTCCATCATTATCCACAATCTTCAACATCACGATCCATAACCTTTGTCGACATCCACTTAGTATGTCATTTTTGTTTTTGTGTCATTTCCAAGTTCGTTTTGGCTTCATTTTTTTATGTTTCCTTTACCCTTGATTTTCATTCATTTGTTATCTAATTTTTTCCCTAGTCACCAACATGTACACCAGTTTTGTCATTGTTGGTTTCACTTTTCATTTTCATTTCACAATGTTTAACTTTCAATTTTGTTCTCCAAGTCTTATTAAATTTTCATTTTTTCTTTCTGACATTGATGATAAACTGATTGCTTGAGATTTCATTTACAATTTTGGAAATGTAGGAATACAAAATATATTTTTTATTTTAGAAACATTTTTTTATATTAGTTGTAAAATAATTGATGTAGACATGTTTTGTTTTAACATTGATGGAAACAACATTGATTTTATAACCAATGCAAAATGTCCAAAATAATTAATGTAAAAAGACATCCATTCACTGGTGTGAAAATAAGATTTTTTTTTATAAAAAAAATTAGTTTTCCAATTATGTTAATAATCAAAGATGATGAAATGCAAGATTATAAAATGTCTAACATAATGTTTGGTTGTGGAGAAGTAAAGGGGAGATATTTTTTAAGAAACTTATATTGTCTAGTTCAATTTTTAGAAGGGGAGAAAAAACCCTTTTTATCTAAGTTTAGCTCCCTCCAATATTGAGGGAATTTGGAAGGAAGGGATTTATAACATTTTGAACATAATTTTAAAAATATCCTTATGATTTTGAATTTACAATTATAAAGGTATAAAGATAAAATAGTTTTAAAAATCCCTATTCTCCTTTTGAGATTTCAAACAAGAAAAAAGGTACCTCTCCTTCGCTCTCATCTTTCCAAACAAAATCTCTGAACCCTCTTCTTCCCTTCATTAAAATTTCCCCCTCCGCTTCTTTGAACCGAGTAGACCCTAATTGTTCGAAGAAATTAATATATGGAAGGTAACAAGAGGCATTCGAGGATTTATATGAAGCATAGATGTTCAAGGTGAAAGAAACCAAAAATTACTAAGTATTAAGTACAAGAAGAGTTTAAAATTTCAAGTTTGAACAGGAAATGCTAGATCAAAAGATGAATTAGGTGCCTAATTAGGTTCCTCAAAATGTTTCTATTATAACAATCAAAGACCAAATATTTTAGTAAAACTTTTATCAAATAGACACATAACAAACAAAGCATTTTATCTTATAAGAACATTTGATAGAATTATATTTTTTAATGTATTTTTGTTGTACAATCTATCAATGTAATAGGAAAACTTCATGAAAGTGTAAAAAAAAAAAAGTTGGCTATTAATTATCTTAAAAGAATTGCTTGTAAAATAGAAAGAGAAATAAGTCTATATTTCATGATTCAAAAACAAATATGCTTATTGCAATAAGATATTGAGCACAAGAAAGAAAGATAAACAAGATGTTTAATCATATCAAGTGACTAGTTGATGGAAAACAATAAATGAAAGATTAATATTCCCAATGGCCATTTCTCAAAACTCAACAAAGAAAAACAAAGAAGAAACCCTTATCAATTTTAACAATTAATTTTAAAGGAAGGTCTATACTAGCTAAGAACTTTTAGGAGGAAGAGAGATTATGCTACAATGATATCAAGTTCTTCAAAGCAAAAAAACTTTATATAAATTTTATTAAATTCTTATATTGTAAAGTAGCTTGCTTAAGTGTTGGAGTTGATAATGGATTGGGCAATCCAAAATGTGTTGTATTGATTTATATGCTCAATATGATAAAATATCACTTGTTT